CATCATGGAAAACCGCGCCGTACGATCTCTTTCCCATCTGGGCTACCAGCTTCACTGATGCCTGCGCGCTCGGTCTCCACTCACCACCGCACTACATCACCGACATTTCTATACGCATCCCCCACCGCAGATGGCTCGGGCCAAGACGCAGGGTGAATTGCCATCCCTGCCTACGGAGCGCATCATTCGCTCCGGCCGGGCTAGGCGCCATGCTCAACGCGTGCGCGCCCTCACAATCGACGTTGCCGAGAATCGCGAATTGGCCAAGCAGCCCGTGCACATCCTGGTCAATCATTCCATCCGCACGTTTGAAATTCTACTCAACGAGATCACCCGGAAGCTCGCCCCCAAGTTTGGCGCCGTACGACGCCTAATGACCCCCGATGGCGTTCAAATCAAATCGCTCGATGACCTCGACTCCAACGGCCGCTATGTGGCCGTAGGCAACCAACGCTTCCGAAAGATGCCCTACTTTGAACCCGAAGCCGTCCGCATCGCCTACACCTCTCCTGACCTCAAGTCCCCGACCAAGATCCGACGCCTCAGTCGTTCCACCACGGAACCCGCGCCAAAGGTCAACGGCTACGCCAAACCCGCGCCTCAGGCTGTGGCGTCGCCTCCCGAGGAGCACAAACCGTCCCCGGCCCCCGTCAGCAAACCCAAGCCCAAGAAGGTGGCTCCGGAAGTCAAGATCCAGAGCTATAACATTAGCATCGAAACGGGTGAAAACGACGACGATGGTACCACCGGCGCCGTATACCTCACCCTTGTCGGGTCCAAAGCCAAGAGTGCCCGAACCCCGCTGCGTGAGGACGAGTCCAACTTTGAAACCGGTGCCCTCGACGTGTTTGGCCTCGAATTCCCCGCCCTTGGAGACGTCAAGCAAATTATTCTTGAAATCGGCAGCAACAGCTCCTGGTACTGTAAGCGCGTCACCGTTCGTGACTCGGTGACCAACAAACGTACTTTCTTCCACGTCGAAGGCACCCTGGATGAAGCTCACCCCAAGGCCATTGTGGAGGGCTCTGCCAACGAGCAGCCCCCTGCCGCCAAGATTGCTGTTGAAGACGACGTCTTTGATGCTCAGCATCGCAACGCCGATGCGGCCGTCGCTGTCGATGACTCGGACGACACTCGTGAAGACCGGCCCATCGACGATGAAGCCGCTCAGGGCGTTGATGATGAGGATCATGATGCCGACATCACCGTTGCCAACCCTGCCCTGGACAAGCTCGAGGCTGAGATCAAGGCCGCCAGCCAAAACCCCGCTACCCTGCGCGAAATGTGGCGCCGCCTTGACTTTAACGGCAACAACATTGTCAGCCTGGCTGAGATTGACAAGTGGGTCAAGGAGACCTACCCCATCCTCGACTCCAAACCGGCCATGATGCGCGCGTACAAGAAGACGACGCTGCGCGATGGCGATGGCGATGCATGGGTGGAGCGCAAGGAATTCCCGGCGCTCTTGGTCAATCTCTTTTACTTTAACCGCCTGTTTGTGGCTTTTGACGCGATTGACACGGATGATGACCGCCGTGTGGACCTGGACGAGTTTGTCCGGGGACTCAAGGTGGTGGGTCTACAAATGTCCAAGGCAGATGCAGCGCAGGTGTTTGAGGAGATTGACTCGAACGACGGCCAGTACATTCTGTTTGACGAGTTTGCAGCGTGGGCGGCCCGCGAGGCCTGCCCCGTCAACGACACGGTCATGAACGAGTTTGTCGGCACCGACGAGCGCCCCATTGATGATTAAACGCCGTAACTTGAACAGTCGCAGCGCCTGGGTAATTGTTGTCTCTGAAGGACCATAAAAGGCCTTCTTCTCAAGGTCATGAGGTGCCCTGTGTCTTGGCTCGTGGATGGCCAGGTGAGGGGTGCCACCTTCTCTTTCCTATCTTAGTCTCTTCTTCTGACGTGTGCAGTGACTGTGTTTGTTTGTTTGTTTTTGGTGCATGGACGTTCGGAACGTTGAAGCCGACGAGTCACACCTGGTAGTGGAGAATTTAATTGACAAGCATTTTGACATTGTACTGAACAGCTATGTCGACAAGCGTGATAAGCGGGAAAAGGAAGGGCAAATTACTCCTAGCGTTCTATGCACAGAGCACCCAGGAAGGAAACACAAAGTTCATAGGCAAGAAGAGGCCTCGAAGGGCCTGCAGCTGGTGGAAAAATCGTAAACAAGAGGAAAACAAAAACATTGCGAACTAAGGGGACATCACACGAGCGGTAAACGTCCTCGACAAGAAGAAGGTGCCGAGTAAGTTGGACAAAACAAGTGCCAAGGATCCGATCTGGCAGGGTTCGGAAGCACTGGTGGCCAACGCCATCGGGCGCAGGCTTGCTTGACCCAGCGTCACAACCCCTTTGTGAGGAAGAGGCGTCGGGACGAGCAGTCTCTCGTGAAAAGGCAAAGAAGAGACAAAGAAAAAAAAGGAGGGGGGGAAGAGAAGAGGAGGCGGCAGCGCACGTACACATTGCATTGTACGTGGGAAAACTTGGGAGAGAGAGAGAAAAAAAAAAGAACCAACGAAAAAAGAAAACCGGTAAACTGAAGTATGAATCAGGTACAAATGGCATGGAAAAGGGGATTGGTCATGTATCACCCAAAAGATCGTCGAAAAGATCAGTCGCCTGCTGAAGGCGGATGTCAACCAGACATAGGCTGACACTCAAGCCAATGGAAAGAAGAATTCTGAATCGGACTTGAAAGACGGATAGGAACGGTTCGGACAAAGATTCGTCTTTGCCGCCAAATTCAAGAGTTTGCAAGATCGAAAACAACCAAAGACGGCACACAACACCAAATTACGAAACAAATCAGTCAACACGGCACAAGACTGATGGGGCCCTCTCGCTAAATCACTGGCTATCCCGAACCATGCCCACGGTAACGCAAGAGGGGTAGTTGGGTAGTTGATCATTGTTGGCAGACAAAGAGGGGGCTGATGAAAGAAAGACCTCATGAACAAACGGTAGAAAAGAACTAACATCGGATGGTGACAACATGTGAAGGAACAAAGAAGCGGCTGCCAAAGTTGTAAAGAAGCGGACAGCCGTCAAGACTATGTATAAAATCAGCGCGAGTGTGGTCGAGGAACAAGTGACTCATAAGGACAGCATTGGACTCAAACGCCACGTCCCAAAGGCAGGGTACCCAGAATCAACGGGGCTCAAAAAGAGCCTGGCATTGATGCGGGGACAGGATAGAGGTCGGGATGATCTGCACGAAGACGATCCAACTTGGCAATAACGTGCTTGCCAAAGGAGGAAGTCCTACCGCACACGCAAAAACCCAAATGAGAAATATCTAACACCCCCCCCCCCCCACCATGTTCACCTGCATGAGCCAACGCTGCTGGCTGGTCGACTCTTCCGGATCAAAGCACACGGTAACCTGAGATTCGGTCAAGCCTGTATGCGCGATCATGCACATGATCAGCGGGTCCCCAGACAAAATGGGGTGGGCGCGGTGAGCCGAGCGCAACATCGACAAACATTCAAGAAGGCCACATGCGTGTGTGTGTGTGCGCGCGCCTGAAACACAGAGCA